TGGTCAAATAGTGTTTGTTTTTTTTTTTTGTTGTTTTTTTATGTTTGAAATAAAGAAATGAAGAATGACACCTGTTGAGTTAATGGATAAATTATAGAAAGAGAAAAATGGGCATTGTGTTATAAATATATTTCTGATTTTAAAAATTATTTTTGTACTTTTTTGGTACATTTAAAATGTGCTCAACTAATTTTATAGGCGAACTTGTATTGTTTTATAACAGTATGCTGAATACACTTTCATATACCGAGGTTAAAAAGAAAAACAACAGGTGAACTCTACTCCACCTTTACAAATGGACTGTTAGGACTGAAAGAGCACTACACTTCTACGAGTAACTTCTACAAGCAACTTTGGGCTATGTTAAAGTAACCAGCAGTAAATTGCTTCTACTCCGACCCAGCCCCGTGTATGACTTCTGCTACTTGGTTGAGCAATGATGTCATCGGCCCTCCCTGGAGTGGTCAATCTGTCCACTTGGTTACACCGGCCAATGACTGGACACTGCCCGGTGATTGGTAACCCGAGCTGCGCATTTAGCCGCGCACGATAACGCACCGCGCGCACGGCGCGGAACGACTAAATGAACACGCCAGACCTCAAAGGCGCGACCGTCTAAATGAGACCGAGCTATTGAACCAGGAGAATGACCACGGACCCCTGAAACACCACGGCGACTAGAAAAACATATTGGGGTGACGGGGGGGGGGGGGGAGGGCCGGGGGTAGGGTAGCTCTGGAAAATCAGACACCCACCGTGCCGGACAAAAGAACGGAGGAGCTGGGAATGAGATGACAGACGAGCGCTTGATCCTATCTCTGATGCCTGGACGGTCGAACGAACGGCGTTTTGTGTTTTAGGAATTAGGTTGTTATTGTAAGGCGAGCTAAGTGTTGCACATTTGGTCTTCGTCGGCGCTGCTGATAGCTTTAAATATGAAACAGGAGCGTCACCAAACCAAGGACAGTAACTCGCAGTACTATAGAGATGTCTTGACGCTGGATATTTTACTGACTGGATTTCTAGCACCGTCCAAAACTGTTAACAGAAAAAGCGTGGGCGGTCTTCTAACGATCATTACCTGGTCGGGAGACGAAGATACGCTAAAGTTTATACGCTTTAAGGCATGAATTACAGCGTGATTTTTCGAAAAACAACAAAACTGATTTCGTGACAGTTGCAATGTTGTTGTTTTGTTTTGTTTTTGTTGTCTTTTTTTTGGGGGGGGGGGGGGTGTACTTTTAAAATAGTGGTGGGAAAAGGACAAAACAGATGTATTGAGAGTAAAGGGAGCACTTAAACAATAAGATGACGTTGGTGATGGCAGATACATCAAATACATAATAATGTTGGTGGCAGGAGGGTGTATACTAACAGTTGTATTATAGCTCATAGGATGGTCGAATACACCGGACTGTGATTTATTTGGATGAGTTTTATGTCTGTTGGTTCTATAAACTTTGACCTTCTAGGCTGGGGCTTACTGGACACACGTACAGCCTTAACCTTCTAGACTGGAACTATCATACGTACACCACACTAAAGATGGCGCAATGTTTGAAGTTCTGAATTTATCTCCCCCTGAATCCTCCATTGCCTGTGATTATCTCCCCCTGACAAGATTACGTTGAAACAAATAACTTTCTTTTTTTTTTTAATAGCTGGTCCAGGCGAGTTCGTTTCTTTCTAAATCATGTCCGGGGGTTTGGATCACATCATGCAGGGGTCGGGCTGGGGGTGGGTCACATTGTATGTATATATGAGGAAGGGTGTAGGGAGGTCTGTGTGTCAGGTGTCTTGGTTATGTCTTTTGGGGTGGGAAGTGGTTGGGGATCGGTCGAGGGATCGGAGTGTATCACATAAATTGTGAGGGTAAGGCACGTTATTTGGGGGGAGGGGGTACATAATGACTTGGGGCTCGGGGTGGGTCACACAGCACACCCCGTCCTAAGGTTGAGGGCGGGTGACATCAAACTCATTAAAAAATCTAAATGAGACAAGTTTATTTTAACGTTATGTCCACGTTCACCCATATACCCTTTTACACGAGATTCTATTTTTATCTACAAAGTAACTCATCCTTTACATTTTTGTTTAAACTTTGTTTTTATCTTTTTCTCAGATCATTGACTAAAAATTAATTACCAGCTGAAGAAATTACCCTCCCCCACCTCTTGAAGTCACCCCTCCCCCTTACCCACCCCCACCCATCACCAAATGTTACTGTAAAATCTTGTCTTTCAACTATCCCGCGTCTTTTTTCCCCTCGGTAACTTTATCAAAGGGAGCCAACTCAAATTTAAAAACTAACTAGTGCAGTATGGGGAGGGGGGGCGCTAAGTTTTTTCTCATTAGCTAACATTTACAGGTCTGGCCGAGTAGCGGGTCTTGGAGATAAGGTGGGGAATCAAAGGGTCAGGGGGTGGGGGAGGGGGTGGGGGAGGGGGTGAACTGCAGCGGGCCGTCGGGGCGTTCGTGTTTTTTCTTATTTTAGCGGGAAAGTAGGAGTGTTGCTGACCTTATCACCGTTAGAAGGTCGGAGGTCAACAAGTATCAGCTGTGAGAGCGCCCCGGGTCATAAACAACGAGGGTAGATCCGCCCAGTCTACGCCCTCCCTCCCCCCCCCCCCCCCCCCCCCCCTCCCCTGAAATCCCGTAAACTGTTAAGTAGGATAGGTACGATAAGGGGAGGTAAGGCCGCCGAGAGAAGTCGTCTACTCATGCTGTTAAAAAAGGTTCGTTGTTTTAGATTTGAGAGCCGAACAAATTTAGTCTACAAGAAATTAATTATTAATTAATTAACATCACACCACCTCCTGTTTGAAAATCGAGTACATTCATTTTAATCAGTGGCGTAACTCCTATTCTCAGCACCCGGGTCGGACACCCCCTCACTTATTTTAATCAATGGCGTCTCTTCTTGTCTCCGCGCCAGGTTAAGACGCCCCCCCCCCCCTCACCAATTTTAATTAATGGCGTCCCTTCTCTTCTCAGTGACGGGTCGAACACCCCCCTACCAATTGTAATCAATGGCGTCGCTTCTCATCTCAGCGTCCGGGTCGGACACCCCCTCACTCAACCCCAAGACTGATTAAAATTATTGATTACATGATCACTACACCTGTAGTCAACTACAGGTAAAAAAAAATATTAGTGAACAGACATGTCAGGTGATCCACGCATTGTGCGCGCGCAGCCCTGACTAAATCCTACATCAACTGCTGCCCCCCGATCTAAGGCGGCTAAGTAATCTCTGATCAGATCGCGCGATTAAGCCGAATGCTTGAAATAATTGACGGGACCCATTTTTTTTAAGTACGTCTAGCGATTGGGCTGTAAACAATGTATGACGTCACGGTGAGTGTTTGGCATGTAAGATATGTGTCAACTCAACTACTGCTCATAAATAACATGCAGTGGGGGTGGAGGAGGGGGAGGGTGTATTGGAACAGGTGCATCTCAATGTCAAGTTTAAAATATTACGCAGAGACTAGTAGCACTTTATTCAATAAAAAAGTTCTTAATTTTTTTTTTTCAGTCATAGCACAGTGATATTCATTTTTTTAATATCAGTTAAAAGCGCAATCATAACCAAATCGATATAATCGATATCCCGAACATTGATCCGATCATAAGGGGAGATCAGGCCGAGTTCTCTATCATGCTCTCTACCTCTCAGGTGGGACCACGTTAAAACCAACGTCTCTCTATTCCCACGTTTAGAATTAAGATTTATTTCAGACGAGATTAGCAGATTACGTTACAAGCAGCGCAGACGTTAAAGTGGCGTTGGTGGGCGACTGTTATTTGTGCGCTGATAAGATGCGCATCGTTTCCCGCGCATGCGCAGTTGTTTAAATTTATTTTTTTTACACCTCGATTTCCGTCACTTGAGCACACGTCACCCAGGGTTATCGAGGTGCTGTAGCCTATTGATGATGAAGCACCCCGCATCGCATGACCGCTCACCCCGCACCTGAAAAGACCTTCAGGATGTAGTTCCGGTTCCGAGCAAGGTCATCGGCAATACAAGAAGTAATTTGCGCTCACCGCAGGGCGCGCGAGAATTGCGTCCTTCAACAATGCGGGTTCCACTTAAACCGTGAGTACCTTGCCGCGAAGGCGCGCATGACCAGTAGCTATTGTTTAGAAGTAATTGACACAACAAGAGAGGAGGGGACTTTGAAGGAGGAGAGGAAAAAAAAAACGAGCTCCAGACGAGGGAGGTAATCCTAGAAAGAGGAGATTGTTCCCGGAAATGACTGGATCACTTATGAAATCTAATAACATTATCCCCGGCTCTGGGAGCTGGGGTGCAGGGTTAAAACAGCTTCCCGCTAGCTGTGAATATGACCTGACGCAAGTCAAAGGAAGTGTTTCCAGGTAGGGGCTTTGTTAAACCGTTTGCAGGTAACGACCTCGATCAATTCCTGACCGCCATTTACTGGTGATGTAACGGAAGTGGCCTGGGGGCGTTCACACCCTAGATCAGCCGCCATTGTGATGGGGTTGCTCATGTGGTTGTTGGTCAATCCCAGCGTTGAATCAATAGCTGGTTGTCGTCAGAGGTCGTTTGGTGAGGATGATTCAACGTTTTGTTTTTATTTACTTCATACAAAAAATATCAGCAACACCTGTTCTCGATAGGCATTTCAAACAGAATGTCTCCACAAAACAATTGTGATGGGTGTTTATTTATTTTATATCAAGACGCCTCTGCAATATTTAGTTTTCAATATTTTATCGTATTTTATTTACTTCATACAAAAAAATATTGGCAACACGTGTTCTCGATATGCAAAGTTCAAACAGAATATTTCCACCAAATAATTGCGATGTGTGTTTTTAATTTTTTTTTTATATATATAAACAAGCCTCTGCAATCTTTAGTTTTCAATATTTTATCGTAAGGAGATATCTGTAACATCAATTCCAATAGTTGAAAAGAATTTAAAAATTTATAAACACATACTAATCACGTGACGGTTTTAAAGCCATACCCGTTAATGCCATGCTATGGTGACTTCCGGCTGCAAGCTGAACGACCTTGTGACCTTGAAATTTCAGCTCCGGGCTCAAAACGTCTTGAGTGGGGTAGCCGCAGCCCTTTGAGTAGCCCCAAACATACACGTCCCCGCCCTCTGTAACAAAATATGTTACAACTACAAAGTAACTCAAGGAAAGTAGTACCAGTAAAAACACATTGAATTAAATTTAAGAATCGCATTAACAGACAAATAAACATAACGAAATTCAATTATTTTAAATAACTAAATCTTAGCTTTCTAAGTCCAAAGTAACAAGTATATTTTCGACAATACAAAATTAATTTTACCCAAAATAAAATTTGGTCTTTAAATAAAAAATTTTGTTCCACACCTGTGTGATCCTAATACCTTTGCAAAACACGAGTTAACTAGAGTTTAAGTTTTTAAACAGCTACCAGGTTTATACGGACCGGAAGTTGAGGTACACAAAAGGTTAAAGTTTATCAAGTATTGTGAGCATGTTTGAGTACTTTCCCTCGAGATGAATGAACAAGGGGACTGCACCCTTGTTTGGTTAAAGATGGGAGGAAACCCCCCTGAAGAAAATCTATTACAGTGGGAAGACGACGGAGAAAGGTACGACCAAATGTCTATTGCTCAACAGGCGACCCTGGGCCATAGGTCACTCGGGGTCGTAAAGGTCAAACTGTTCCTGGACAATGGTCAAGCGCCGGTTCCCACACTCCGGCTCGAACATGTGGCCGGCAGACTGGACTTTGATTAACCGTGACCGGCTAGTGGCCACGATAAGTCTGGACACTTTAATGCTTCATTTGATGCTAATGATAAGCCTCATTATTTCTGAGACACGACGGTGTCTATTAACTAGAACAATATGTTTTCGTCGGCTGCAAATTAGTAATTAAAATAACTTAATTAATAAAATGTAACATTAATTTAGTAATAATTAAAGTTTCATTCTGTGAAAATCCATACTAAAAATATTAGTAAAAAGGAAAGAACCTGGAGATGTATGGAGCAGATAAAGCAGAGTTCACCTGTTTGTTACCTCGGAAAATGAAAGGATAGTGTAGCAAATATTAGTTGACTATGTCTACATTTTATAAATCTACATATGCATGAGTGAGTTCATAAATCTTATTTTATTTCACAAGATACCCGGAAGTAGCAATATTAATTATGTTGTGTTAATTTGTTTATCTACTTAGAGGTAAATGATGTTTGTAAAGACAGGTGAGTATATCCAGATGGGAACCACGTGGCACAGATTCTACTCTAAGACCAACCATATGGTCTTATGTGTAGGCGACCGACTGTTGGGTCATTATACCACGTCTGACGGCCTTGTAGGTAGTGTCGTATTGTTAGCAGTGTCGTATTGTTGGCAGTGTCGTATTGTTGGCAGTGTCGTATTGTTGGCAGTGGCGCGTTGTTGGCAGTGTCGTATTGTTGGCAGTGTCGTATTGTTAGCAGTGTCGTATTGTTAGCAGTGCCGCATTGTTGGCAGTGTCGTATTGTTGGCAGTGTCGTATTGTTAGCAGTGTCGTATTGTTGGCAGTGTCGCATTGTTGGCAGTGGCGCGTTGTTGGCAGTGTCGTATTGTTGGCAGTGTCGTATTGTTAGCAGTGTCGTATTGTTAGCAGTGCCGCATTGTTGGCAGTGGCGCGTTGTTGGCAGTGTCGCATTGTTGGCAGTGTCGCATTGTTGGCAGTGTCGTATTGTTGGCAGTGTCAGTAACAAATCACAATCAGTGCCACTCTCATTTTTCCACATACGATGTAATAGGGTGTGTAAACAAGAACACACAAAAAGACTAATCTTAGGATAAGATTAATAAGTTGAATGTATAATCTAGAGCTTAATACACAACCAAATGCAACACTTAATAGAGAACAGCGACAAAAAATATTGACTTACTCAAACATTCCAACATTTATTTGGTGGATAAATTACCTAATGTATGCAACATTTTAAAATAAAATTATAAAATTATTTTTAAAGCAGCCTTCTTTGTGAACGAAAGGTTAGCTACAACTGATGTTTTTGTCAATGTACCATAGGTGTAGTTGTCTTTTGTGAGATAACTCTTGCGGGATCAGGTTAAGTCTGGAGCTTACCTCCCCTTTTGATTGGATCTGCATGAGCAAGAATGTGGGTCATATAACCCGCCGTCAGATGGCGCTAGATAACTCTGTTATTGTCTCACTCACCCACACAACCTCCCTCAGTCACGCACACATCCTCACTCACTAACCCACACATCATCAATCATTCACACACACAACCTCCCTCACTCACCCACACAACCTCCCTCACTCACCCACACAACCTTCCTCACTCACTCACACAACCTCCCTCACTCACTCACACAGCATCCCTCACTCACCAACACAACATCCCTCACTCACTCACACACCCAACCTCCCTCACTCACCCACACAACCTTCCTCACTCACTCACACAACCTCCCTCACTCACTCACACAGCATCCCTCACTCACTCACACACCCAACCTCTCTCACTCACCCACACAACCTCCCTCACTAACCCACACAACCTTCCTCACTCACTCACACAACCTCCCTCACTCACTCACTCACACAACCTCCCTCACTCACTCACACAACCTCACTCACTCACTCACACAAACTCCCTCACTCACTCACTCACACAACCTCCGTCCCTCGCCCACACAACCTCACTCACTCACTCACTCACACAACCTCCCTCACTCACTCACTCACACAACCTCCCTCACTCACTCACTCACACAACCTCACTCACTCACTCACACAACCTCCCTCACTAACCCACACAACCTCCGTCCCTCGCCCACACAACCTCACTCACTCACTCACACAACCTCCCTCACTCACTCACACACCCAACCTCTCTCACTCACACAACATCCCTCATTCATCCATACAACCTCTCTCACTCATACACTCAACCTCCCTCACGCACACATCCTCCCCCACACACTCACACATCTTCTCTCACGTCATCGCTTTAAGTCGTCGTTTCCTCACCGACGTTATGTTGATACTCAAAAACCTGGTCAAGGGTTAGATTTGTGTAGCCAGGACAGATTTGTATCGGTTTGTCCAATCTAAGGGTCAATTCATTCAGACAGACAAACAGGAAATGCGGCGAGGCCCACGTAGACGGGAGAATCCAGCGCGTCATGAGAAACTATCAGGACGAGATGACCCCGTGACCTCATTGTATCTGCACCCTTCCAGTCTTTTGTGAGGAAACGAAGATTTGACGGGGCATCACCCCGCGGTGTAATACACCCTCTTTTGTAAGAAACCATCACCCCGTGACGCCCCCCACCCCACGCCATCCCCGGTCTATTTTTTTCACACATTTTCACCTTTTGCAGTTGTCGTCTGTAGTCGGTTAGTGTCGGTGTGAGAAGCAGAAGACGTGGGCGGGGTGCACCAACGAGGTTGAGGCGGGGGAGAGTTAAGAAACTTTTGTTCCCAGGTTAAGTCTTTAAACCCGGCCCAAAAGGACAACAATACCGGTCGTCCGATTCACGGTCGGATATTTCACTGGGTCGCCAGGAGGTAGAAGCTGCAGAAGTGACAGTCCCGTCTGCAGGAAGTGACCTCACTTGACGCGCATTTCATCACAGACCGGAAGTGTGCCAACACCGGAAGACCTAGGTTGTGTTACATCACAATGTACAATAGCGATTTCCGGACCCCGGAAGTCGTGCTATGAATGTTAATGTTACGTTAGGTCCTTCTGTGAGGCTGCGCCAATGTAATTCCCACTCATTAGTTGCCTGAGTGCATTCAACAAACCGGAACTGACCCCACACAAAACATTACCCAGATACACCTCGTCCCCAAAATGTCGAACACTTCCGTCATGTCAACTGGAACAGAAGAGTTCTCAGGTCAGTAAACAGACGACCACACAACAGATGCTTGGCTTGACCCTTCATATTATACAATATTTTTAAAATGACCCTTGGTATCATACAACATTTTTAATATGATCCTTAATATTACACAATATTTGTAAAATGACCCTTAATATCAATTTTATCATACAATATTTTTAATATGACCCTTTATATTTTACAATATTGATATATGATCCTAAATATTATACAATATTGTTAATATGACTCTTGATATTATACAATATTTTTAATATGACCCTAGAACCTTGATATTATACAAAAATTTTAATAAGACCCTAGAACCTTGATATTATACAATATTTTAATATAATAAGTCATGTTGTTACAGATAGTTAAAGTCATGATGTTCGGTGTTGTTACTGGTAGTTGAAGTCATGTTGTTTCGATGTTGTTACATGCACACGCTATCGTTATGTTGTTAATGTGTTGCAGCTTTAGGGCGGGTGGAGAAAATTTAGCGACAAACTGATGTAGTGTATGTAGTGTAGATATAATGGAACTCTAAGACAGGACAGTCGCATGTAGTGTAGATATAATGGAACTCTAAGACAGAACAGACGAATGTAGTGTAGATATAATGGAACTCTAAGACAAGACAGACGCATGTAGTGTAGATATAATGGAACTCTAAGACATGACAGACGCATGTAGTGTAGATATAATGGAACTCTAAGACAAGACAGACGCATGTAGTGTAGATATAATGGAACTCTAAGACAGGACAGTCGCATGTAGTGTAGATATAATGGAACTCTAAGACAGGACAGTCGCATGTAGTGTAGATATAATGGAACTCTAAGACAGGACAGACGCATGTAGTGTAGATATAATGGAACTCTAAGACAGGACAGTCGCATGTAGTGTAGATATAATGGAACTCTAAGACAGGACAGACGAATGTAGTGTAGATATAATGGAACTCTAAGACAAGACAGACGTATGTAGTGTAGATATAATGGAACTCTAAGACAGGACAGACGCATGTAGTGTAGATATAATGGAACTCTAAGACAGGACAGTCGCATGTAGTGTAGATATAATGGAACTCTAAGACAGGACAGACGCATGTAGTGTAGATATAATGGAACTCTAAGACAGGACAGACGCATGTAGTGTAGATATAATGGAACTCTAAGACAGGACAGACGCATGTAGTGTAGATATAATGGAACTCTAAGACAGGACAGACGCATGT